ATGTGCACACGTGGTGGGCGCCCTCAACCTGGCGCCCGCCATGTTTGGGCAGCGCGAGACCTACCTGGATGCAGTACGGCGTCGGCAGGACCGCGAGGCGCTGGCGCAGCTGCGCACCGGGTCGCATTGGGGCGCGGAAGAGACCGGCCGCTGGACGCGGCGCCCCCGAGAGCAGCGAGTCTGCCCCCACTGCCACGACGGCATTGAAGATGCCCCCCACATGCTGCTCACCTGCCCCCTTTACGCCCCGCTGCGCCTCAACTTTCCTGACCTGTTTGCTGAGCCCCATCCTCCCCACCGCTTCCTCCGCCAGAAACCGTGCCGCCTCGCCGCCTTTGCTGCCGCCTGTCACCAGCGCTGGCTGACCGCCACCGTTGCGCTGCCTGCAGTCCCGCCCTGAACCCCCACTCTCATGTCCACCCCCTTTGCTCTTACCGCACCACACCTGCTCCACGACATGCAGTACTGCCTGCCCGCTCACACACTAAACGCTCGGTGACCTGTCAGTTGGCCTGTCCTGCCTGTTGTTCTACTGCTTCATCCCTCCTTGCTCGAACAACAAAGTCTGTGCTGCAAGCTTGTTCTTGCTGAAACCAGACTGTAAGCCCACACAAGCAAGCATTCGTCACACAAAGGGCTGCCAGCCACCCTTTCAAGGGCTCGAATTGGCTTCGTATAGCATGTTTCAGGGCATGTGCACCTGGCCAACTGGCACCTTCGATGACCTGCTGAACCTGCAACGAAGCTGTGACGTGCTGACGTGGAATCTCCTGTCACCACCGACGGTCTTTGGATCCTCGCACTCATACATACCAGCCAAACTTTCAACAGCACAAATTGAATGCATACACACCACTTAGCACACTGTGCACACTTTGATGCACGTCGACGCCAACGCAAACAACCCGACGCGAGAGGCGCCCTTCTTGCCAAGCACCTCAGGAGCCCCACAAACCACTCCAACTCAACCACACACCATGTGTGAGGATGTGGGAAGGACGGCTGATGTTCGTTCAAAGTACACTGAGCAGACCTGCCACCACATGGCCTCCACCTGCGGCAGGGGCGGGAGCGGCGGCGGCATGTGTCGGCTGCAGGTCCGCAGCAGCCGGGGCTGCCCAATCGATGGCTCATGGCGTGTGCAACTGTCTGACAACGGCGGGCAGGATTGCAGGGCCCTCTAGGCGCCGGCCAAGCCGCACTACACCAGCGAGGTACACTGCCCGGACTGTCTGGCCCGCGCCAGCACCAACGGCAGCACAATCCCTGACCTTTGCACTCTCCTCCAGCGATCCAAGCCCTGTCCCTGCTTGCCAGCGTTCTACAGGCAGCCTTCCGGAACGGCGCTGGGGCAGAGCTTGGTGAAGCACAGGCGCTGCGCCAGCAACTTGGGGCAGCTGTCAGGAGCCTGATACAAGCGGCAGCAGCAAGCGGCGGGCCCGATCGCCGCCAATCTGCTCGCCGTGCTCCACAAACGGCTAGCATCGCCTTCAAAACGACAGCTGCCACACCCCCTGAAGCCAGTGGCACGCGCCGTAACAACCGCCGTCGCCGGCCAGGTGGGGGTCCCTGCTGCCGCCGCCGCTGCCGCCAGCCTGCGCTGCCGCCGCGACAGATGCCTGGACTGGCTTGCACCTGCCTGCACCACTGCCCTGCACATGCACTCTGTGGGGGCAGGAGGCCAGTGTGATGGCTGCAGAAGGGGTGCTATACCACATGCATTGCTGTTGCACATGGATGGGGTGGGCCCGGCGCCGCCCCGCTCGCGCACCGACCCGCGCGGCGCGCGCGAGTGGTCTGCTGCAGCCTCTGCTGTCTGCTGCTGCACACACATGCTCCCTGGCACTGCTTCTTGCTGCTGGAATGGGCTGGGAGGTGCAGTCATGCAGGGACAGGGGTGCCTGGCACCTTTGCGGCGGCGGCGGCGCGCGACGCCACCGCGTCCTCGCGCGCCGCTGTCACACCACAGCTGGGACAGCCCTGCTCAGCCACCCTGCCACACACCCTCTCCCTGCTGCAGTGCTGAAGCAATGGCAGCTGGTCAGCAGGATGCCCCATCACAAAGTTCTGGTGAGCAAACATGCATGAGGTGGGGAAGCGCGCCGCGTGCGCCGAGTCGCCCGACGCGGCGAATGCACACCACCAGTCAGCCAGTCACTGCCCACCACTTGCATGCCCAGTTTGTGAACCAGCACCAGTCACTGCTCTCCCCACATGCCCACAAAGGCTGGGGCTCAATGTTTTCTGTGGGGGGGGCAATTGTCCAAGGATGCTAAGCCCCTAATCGATGGCCAAAATTATGAAAATTCCAATCCCCCGTTTTGGGGGGCGCTGATCACGCTCCCGCTTTCAGAATTTCCATCTGAGGCCTCCTTGACCCCCAAACAGCCCCAACTGGCATGCAGCGCGGTGACAAAAACATGGTGTTCTTTCGGTCTTATGGTCACCCACTTGTATAAACTTCTCTAAACCGGGGTTTTTGGAATCCTCTCATCAGGACGCGTCCATTGATACCCATAAGTCCACATTTGGCTGGAAATAAACCGGTGGGCGCCAGGCGCCACCCCTTATACCCTAATCGGTGTCTGGTGCCCTTGCAAGGAGGAAACGTGGTGTTTTGTGGGGGTGGAGGGGTGGGGACCTGCTGGACGGCCGTGCTGAGGCCAGATTCGGATTCGGCGTGGTAGATTTGGGGGGGGTCACATGGTCTGAGGCATTTCTCTGGTGGGTTGATGCCACTGCCTCAAGCACTTGTTCAGATTCCAAAAGATGCACAAGTGCTGGGCGGGTGGGCGTGTGCAGGGCGGTGCAGGGGCTTGGCCAGGGGGAGGCCGGCTCACCTGAGGCCACCACCGTGCTCCTGGGGTCCGAAATAGTGGGGGGCCATGGGCAGAGCACCAGGTGAGAGGCACTGGTGGCCCTGCCAAGCCCCTGCCATCGCCCAGCCGAGCAGGCTGCAGCTGGCAGCAGGGGGAGATGGACAGGCATGGCCGTTCTGGCCCATCCACAGGGCTCCAAAGCACAAACCCTGGTATCCCCGGATCCCTCTCGACGAGAGGAAGACGGCCATGTGCTCAGGCGAGGGAGATTCGGTGCACAGCTCCAACGGCACCCGCTTCTGTGCACACAGCCGATCTCAGCTCCCACACCAAGCACAGGGGGGGGCCACAACTTGGTGGCCAGGCCGAGTTTGGGGGCAAACCAAGTTGGTGAACTTCTCTTATCGTCGAGGGGCGCCCACCCAGCACCTCAGAGGGCGGCTGAGGGCAGCCACACACGGTTCAAGGAGGGGGTTCAGAGAATACTAGGGTCTATATACTAAACCCTAAACCTTCCCAACCCTAAATGCGCCTGGCAAAACCCTAATTGCCATATAGCCGCAAATAGCTGCAGCTGGGCGGCCACTTGACAAGCGGCAGGCTGCTGCCACTGGACACTTGGCAGGGCAGGCAGGCTGCAGCAGGGCTGCCACTTGACAAGCGGCAGGCTGCTTGGGGGGGAGTTTGGGCTGCCACTGTACGCCAAGCGAATACAGTCAGCCAAGCCCGGTCGGAAAGAGCCCCCCACACGCTCCAGTCGGGCCCATCCCACACCACAGGGAGTCCAGCCAAGTAGTCCCACTCGGAGTCGGGGCCGTGTGCGTTCACGTGGGCCACCAAGCCCGAAGCAAAACGTTGCTCCCTCGCCCAAAAGGCAAGGCGTTGCTGATGGCACGCGGGGCACACGCAAACAGCTTGCATCGTTAAGTCGCAAACACCCACCACTCGCACTTCAAACGGCGCCGACAAACGCTAGAAAGCCCCCACCCCAACAACGCCACGCGCCAAGTGTCACATGGCCAGCACTTGGCAAGGAGGAGGCACGAAGCAAGCCACCTAGCCGGCCACATGTCCAGTGGCCAACGGCAACCGGAGAGGCACACAAGCACCACACACCAACATGCCTTCTACAGCATGTCAGTCAGCGGCGTGCGGGTGCAGCGGGTGTGGATCACGCGGAATGGGCGGATGGCGCTTGAGGCGTCGCTGCCCGCCGCCATGGCTGCTACTGTGCTGGCTGGCAGCAAGCGGCTCAAGGGTACTGGGATCACCCTTGGGCCCGTCCTCAGCCCCAGCGAGCTACGCGAACGGGAGGCGCGCAGGCAGCAGCAGCCACAGCCCACCCCGCTCCCGCCCCAGCCTGGCCGACAGCGCCGTGCGCAGCGCTCCGCCCCGCCAGCATCCGCTAACGCGGCAGCACGGAGGCGCGGCGAGCAGCCGCCGCCGCCGCCGCTTGCCGGCGGCACGGTGCAGCAGCAGCAGCAGCAACCACCACCGCCGCCTGACGGCGGCGGCGAGCAGCCACCAATTGCGCACGCTACCCCTGCCGCGGCCCCCCACCCGCAGCAGCCGGCCCCCACCGTGTCACCGCCCTCACCACCGGCGGCACAGTGGCCGCCCTTGGCCAGTGCCGTGGTTCCTTTAGCGGCGGCCACGCCTGCTGCCCCGCCTAACCCCGAGTCGCCTGCGGCAGACGAGCGGCCCGAATCCTCAACTGCGCGGCGGCGACGCCAGCGGCGGGAGACGGCGGCGAGGCACCAGGCGGAGGCCGCCACCTCCACACCCTCATCTCGTGCCCCATCCCCAGTCGAGGTGGCCCCTGGGCACGTCTTGACGGCCCTGCCCAGGCGGTCGGCTCGGCTGGCCCGGGGTTGAGCTTATCCGGCGCTTCATTAAATGCCTCTTGCTATCTTTATGCAGATGCCCGCCGTGGGTATTGCTTGGGGCATGCAGCTTATAATTTTGGGTGGGTTTTGTATTTGCTGCAATGTTGTGTACAGCTCTACCCCCCATACCTGAATCTCTTCCCTCATGTGTTTTGTGTTGGTGCATACTTTTCCAGCTGTTTGGCACCACAGCTGGGCCCGTAGCATTCATTTGCTCCTTATGGGTGTAACAGACAGACAGACCATAAGTTTATGCTTTGCGTGCCCAAAGACAAGCTGGCGGTGCACAACTTTAATCCCAATGTTGACAACCTCTTCCCACAGTACGCAAGTTTATTCCCGTGGTCCACAACTTAATCCCTAGGGGTTCCACACCCTATTCCCGTTGCATTGCGGTGCACAAGTCCTCCATACCGACATGCGCAACCTGGCGGCCAGCGCTGCAGCCCTGCTGTACCGCCGAGCACCTGGCGGGCAGGCTGGCGCACGGGTCGCCATGAGCGCCGACCATCCGCGCAAGCTGCGTTGGACAGCTTCCTGCCACTCGCACTGCCCTCCCACCCTATGTGCCCGGCCCTAGTGCAGATGGCCGACATGTGCAACATCGAATGGTATGTGCCCAGCTCTCATCAAGGGACTGTTCTACGGTAAGTGAAGAGAAGGCCTCTCGAGCGGCCACTGGACATTTGGCAGGGTGCCTGGCTGACGCAAACTGCCGCTGGACATTGGACAGGCAAGTTGGCTGGGGCAGGCTGCCGCTGGACAATTGGCAGGTTGCCGGGCTGAGGCAAGCAGCCGCTGGACACTTGGCAGGCAGACTAGCGGGGGCAGGGCTGCCACTGGACACTGGCAGGCAGACTGGCTGGGGCAGAGCTGCCATTTGACACATGGCAGGCTGCCTGACTAGGGCAAGGCTGCCATTTGACACTTGGCAGGGTGCCTGGCTGGGGCAGGCTGCCGCTGGACACTTGGCAGGTTGCCTGGCTGGGGCAGGCTGCCGCTGGACACTTGGCAGGTTGCCTGGCTGTGGCAGGCTGCCGCTGGACACTTGGCAGGGTGCCTGGCTGAGGCAAGCTGCCGTTGGACACAGTTTTACATGCTTGAGGTATGCTATGTAACTCACCCGACTAATCATTACGAAAAACAAGTTGCAACCAAAGCCCATGTCGCACACGCTCGAGGCTGTTGTTGCTTTCAAGCATGTGACTCGTCATCGGGCCCATCCCACACCAGCTTGCCAAAAGTCGCCAGTTCGTCTGCAGTCAGTGGCTGGCCCACCTCATCCTGGGAGGGCACCTTCTCGCCGTTGAACTGCACAACAGAGGCGTGTTCCTCAATCTGAAATCAGGAGGATCAAACCACAAGAGCATCATAATCAAGCAATTCGCGTGCTAAACTCTCACCACGTAGGCCCACAGCTTGGCTTTGTCGGAGATCATGGTGCCCGCCTCCACATCATCCTTCTTGCACCAAGAGAAGAAGGGCTTTGGGTCGTGGTACAAGAACCGCCTGCGAACAGCAACACAACAACCACGTGGAACAGAGGCAGGCAAGCTGGGCTGCTATTGGACCACAGGCAGGCTGGCAGCAGTCAGGCTCACTTGAACAGCTCCAAGCCGTTGGGCACGTGGGCTAGCAGGGTGCCAGCCATGATTAAGGGCACATATGCCTTGTTATGGCAGTTGACACCAGGGTAGGTGGCGTGAATCACCTTCCTGCAACCATGGATGGGACTAAGACGATTCACATGTGATAGCATCGATGCAAGTCGGCATTTGACACATTATAGGCATGCACCAAGCTATGTTTTTGCTTTTTGGCTGACTCGCACCAACCTCCAAAACGCCATGTGGGCCAGCTCAGGGGCAGTCACACCAGAGACGGGCACGGTGCACATGCCATACGAGTCAGGGTATGTCCACGGCACCATTGCCTTCTTCACGGGCTTCGGCACAGGCCTCCCCGGGACCCATTCACTACTAGTGGGGGGTACTGCACTTGGCGCGTCGGGCAGATCAAATAATGGTCTAAAGCTAGACGTTAAAACCGGGAAGTGAAGCTTGTGGAGGCTCTTCCCCACCTTTACCTTTACCTTTTACGGGCTTCAACCCGCAATCGAGGGGCCGCATCCTGCAACTCAATCCATGGCATGCAATATAAATGTGCGTGTTTATGCAAGTGGCCTTCGCCGTAGACTCACAGCGGGTTGATCTCCCCGGTTGTTGCGGACGGCACAATCGTAGCCAGCGGGTCGCCAGCCAACATATTGTCCACACCCGGCAAGATGGCCGCCAGCAGGCTCGCCCGCGGACCGCCCTGCAAGCAATATCAACAAACATTACGAATTTGTTAAGGTATTGCCACTGGCCTCGAGCTTGCTTTGCACTGCAGTCAACTCTGCGGTTGCAGTGTTGCCACTGGACACTTGTCAGCCCAACTCTCACATCCATCTCCTGCCCCTCCTCACAGGCTGCCGCCTGCGTGAAACATGAAGGGAAACCCTGGCGAGTTCAGCAAGGGAGCGGGGCAGGCAAAAGCAGGCAAACTACGGGAGGCAACGCTGAAGCAGGCCACGCTCCTCCCGCCCCCATCCCTCGAACACAACGCTGATTCAGAGTCGCAAGACGCTGGGCATGGCCCGTGAGGAATCCGTGAGCATTTCAGAGGCCAAAAACAGTCACCCACAAGCTAGGTGTCGCAGCCCAAAATACCTGCTCGTTTGCCACTGAAGCCAGAACGTCCATCAGTTCAATGCAGCCTCAGCCGATTTCTGAAGGATTTGGCCAATTCCAGGGGCAGAAGGCTCGGACCCAAGAAGGCAGGTACAGCCCAGGCAGTACGGGTCGTTCACCAAGCCAAAAATCAATGTGGAATTCTTCCTGGCATGAATTTACATGTCCCTATTTGCAGTGAGGTTGCAGCTACAGCACTGATGGAGCAGCCAACTTGTAAAATGTAAATCGTGCAAGCAGACGATGACCATGGTCAACACAGGGCGGCAGGTTGGGACAGGAAAAGTGCAGTCATGCGGCAGCACAATCCATGGTGATGGTCACGGAAAACACAGTATGTACAACTCTGAGGGGTCGAACTCAGAACAGTCTAACACAAGGACCGCGTCACCACTGGTACTTTGCCGCCAGCAGCACCGCCTCGTACTGCTGCGCTGCCTGGTCCCAGCTGAGATCCTGCTCCATGCCTCGTAGCTGCATGCACCTGCAGCAACGATGATGCAGCAGCGTAACTGAGAATGCTAATCGCAGGGTGGACGCCGAGCTTGTGGCAAAAGGTAAAGGTAAAGGTGGGGAAGAGCCTCCACAAGCTTCACTTCCCGGTTTTAACGTCTAGCTTTAGACCATTATTTGATCTGCCCGACGCGCCAAGTGCAGTACCCCCCACTAGTAGTGAATGGGTCCCGGGGAGGCCTGTGCCGAAGCCTTGGCGATTCTATTAGGCGTTCCCGAAGGAATTGGCTTGTATTGGCGCTGAGCCGGTCAGCTATGCCGCGTTTGTCCTCACAAAGTTTCGACATGGGAGGAATCGAACCTGTGCCCTCTCGGAGGGTTTAGACACTAGCTCCAGCGCCTTCAAAGAAGGCCTTTCTTAGCCGCGGCCTTTTTGGTGGCAAACAGGCAGGCAGCCCACTGCTGGCAAAGGCTGCTTCCCACCTGAAGGACTCGGGATGCTGGCTGTAGGTGAGCAGCGCAAACCGTAACGCGCTGCGGAAAGTACCAGGATCCGCCCCCTCAAACGTCCAGCCTGCAGCGAGCATGGAGCGGACGGGACAGCAAGCTGACCTGAGGGCAAACTGGCGGCAACCACAGACCCAAACGGCGCAGTGTTGCTGCCCCTCTTGCTCACCAGGCAGCTGCCAGCGCCGCGCACCTGTGCCGACGTTCTCAAAAGGATTGAAGGGTTTGACGGTGTCGGCCAGCCCGCCCACCGCATGCACCACCGGCGGCGTGCCGTAGGCCATGCCATACAGCTGGTTGAGGCCGCAGGGCTCAAAGCGCGAGGGCATCAGCAGCATGTCGGCGCCTGCATGCAAAGCATGATCATGTCATGACAGCAAAGCGTGACCAGGCACTAAGGCAGGCGCCTCAGACCACAGCGGCAGAGTGACCCACTTGGCACTGCATGCATGCCCAATGCGTTGCTGCGCAGCAGCATCCCACCTGCGGTGATGCGGTGCGCCAGCTTCACCGAGAAGCCCACCCAAGCACGGCACTGCTGCGGGTGCCGCGCCTCCATTTTCCTGCAGCAGCAGCGACGGCGGCCAACTGGAGGCGATGCGAACGCGAAAGCTGGCAGCCAACATGCGCTCGGCAGCTGCTCCCACCAGCAGCACAGCCCACCTGAGTGCCTCCTCCAGGTCCGGCCGGCCGCTGCCCAGCAGCACCAGCTGCGCCCCCTGCTCCATCAGCCAGTCGCAGTTGGCAGCAATGAGGTCCACGCCCTTCTGCTCATCCAGCCGCCCAATGAAGCCCAGCAGCGGCACTGAGAGATCCACCGGCAGGCCCAGCTCCTGCAGGAGCAAATGCACACAGCAGGGGCACCAGCATGAATAAGCGAGATGCTGTCCAGTGGCGTAACAGCGCATGATGGGAAGGGGCGGGGAACACAGGTTCATTTATGCCGGCGCGCAGTGCAGCACATTGCTGTGGATGGCACGCAGTACACTGTCACGCCTTGCACGTGCACGCACCTGCTGCAGCGCCGCCTTGCACCGCGTCTTGCCGACATCCAAGGTCTCGGCGTCATAGCGGGCATAGCCCTCAGCTGGCGAAAGGTGAGGGTCGATAGAAGGGCTCCACTCCCGGCCGTCAATGCCATTGACCACGCCTGCAGAAAGCAGGAGGAATTGTTTTACTGTGTGATTAGAAAAGCTGGTGGCGCTGCGGGTGCATGGCGGCAACAACAACCGGCAGCCAGCCACGCTGGCAGTCGCAACATGCAGGCAGTTCCTGGCAGCCCTGCAGCGCTCACCTTTCAGCTTCCAGGACTGCCGGCGCAGCACGTCGTCCAGCCCCCAGCCGCCCTCGGGCGTCTGGCACTCCTCGGCGTACCTGCAGTTGGCAGCGGCAAGAGACAGCAGCCGCAGTTGGCAGCGCTGGCAGCAGGCAGCAGCGCCAGCAGCAGGCGAGGTTGCAGCGGCTGCAGCAGATTCTTCTGGGCTGCGATAAACAATGCAGCGCCCAGCTGCCTGGCACTGCAGCAGCTGCAGTGGCGGTGCTGGCAGCGCTGGCAACCGCGGCGCCACCTCCCCTGCACCGAGCAGGTTGCTGCGCTACACGATGCATATGCGCACCCCCTGCCCACCTGTTGGACACCGCCACGATGCGGTGCGCGGTGATGGCGCCCGCCTTGAGGATGTTCATGTGCTCGCCGTGGTGCGGGTCGTGCAGCCTGCGGGGCAGGAGGAGGCGAGAGACGCAAGGCGCAGTGGCATTGCTGGGTGGCAGGCCTCGTGCGCTGCCCGCAGTGGAATGCAGGCATGCAGCCAAGAGGCGTCGCCTCGTGGGCCGGCCAGCGGACGCAGCAGCAGATGCCTGCCCTGCCCACCAGTCTCCTCGCCGCCACCAGCCAGCACCGCCACCCCGCACCTGAACAGCTCCTCGTAGCGCTCCGGCACCTCCAGCCAGGACAGCTCCTCCAGCGGCGCCCGCCCCTGGTGAGCCATGTTGTGCAGCACCAGCAGGCTGCGAGCAAACTGGAGCTTGCCGTGGTCGCGGTAGTGCGCCTGCAGGGTGGGGGCATCGGGGTGGGCGTGCATGGCCGGCAGCGAGTATATACACACTGCATACATATATGTTGGTGCAGGCGGGAGAGCGGCAGGCACCGGCTGCAATAGCAGCACCGCCGGCTTGTGGCGCAAGCCGGCCGCCGCCACCGCCCCGCGCAACCACCACACTGTTGCTGCCCGCCGCTGCCCGCCGCTGCCCCCACCTGCAGGTAGACTGGCAGCAGCGCGGTGTGCCAGTCGTTGGCAATGAACAGCAGGTTGGAGTCTCCGTAGGGGGTACCCGCGCAGGCCACGTGCCAGGGCGCCTCCAGCGCCGCCTTGCTCAGCAGCGCGCAGCGGAACAGCACCTCGCGCTGGGAGCCGCCATAGATGCTGTCTGCGAGGTGGCGCGGGGAAGGTGTGAGCGAGGGATGAGGAACGCAGGGGAGGTGACAGTGGAGATGGGTGGCAGGAAACCGCTGACAGCGCTACAGGTGCTGACGTGGCGAGGAGCACTGCCAGCTCAGCACCCGGGTCATCTCCATTGCTGCCAAGGCTACCCCAGCTGGCCCCTGCATGCCCGCCCACCTGCCCAGGCGTGGAAGGCGGGATGGTCCACAAACACGTGGTCCACGCCCTCCTGGTACGAGTGGAAGTATCCCACCTGCGGTACGGCGGGGGGCGGTGCAGATCATGGCAGGCGGCATTACCAGCAGCTGCCAGGCGGCCAGGCAGCCCCGCGCACCGCATGTGCGCACTCCGCAGGGGCAGCGAGTGGGCTGCCCTAGGGGCCTGCCACATCAGTACCCGCGCCGGCGCCGCCGCCACCCACCTCCTGGTTTGAGTCGAAGACGCGCACTCTCAGGCGCACCCCCGTCTCCCACGCATCCTCGTAGTTCTTGTAGCGGGGTGCCACCACCATGACGCGGTGGCCCCGCGCCGCCAGCGCCCTGGGCAGCGCCTGCATCACGTCGCCCAGGCCGCCTGCAGGGGTTCGCGCCGCACGGGTTCCCGCAGGCAGGCGGGTCGGCGGAGCGGCAGGCAGCCGAGGGCGCGGCGGGGCCTGGCGGGCAGCAGGCCATCGAGCAAGCGCGCGAGGGGCAAACAAGCAGCGGGCGCGGAATGCGGCACCGCCCCGCCACAGCGCCCGGGCGCACCGGTCTTGGAGTAGGGAGCGCACTCGGCGCCCACCATGATGATGTTCATGGCGTGGGGGTTGGCGGGGCGGCGCGGCCTGGCCGGCTGCCCATCCTCGGTGGGAGGGTCATCAAAGATGACTGTGGCGGGGGCGGGGGCCGGGTCCAGCAGCCAGGCCGCCGCCGCCCGCCGCAGCGGCGTCACCACGTTAGCCGCCAGCTGGAAGCGCGCCTGCACGGCGGAGGCGCGGGCCCGGGCCCTGGCCTGCGCCGCGGTGGAGGGTAGCGCCAGCGCCTGCGCCACGCCGGCGGCCAGCGCGCCGGCCACGGCGCTGCGGGGCGGCGCCTCCCCCTGGTGCTGCTGCTCCTCGTGGTGCTGCTGATGGTGCTGCTGATGGTGGTGCTGGTGCTGCTGCTGGTGCTGCGCCGCGGGCTCCTGCTCCTGCCAGGCCGCCGCCAGCAGGGAGGTCATGAGGGAGTGCACGCAGGTGGAGACCATGGCGGGGACGGCGGTGAACGGCTGCAGGGGGAAGTGCGCCAGCGCCAGCTGCGCCCCCAGGGCGCTGTTGCGGCTGCCGGCCTGGATGGCGGCGGAGCGGGCCACCGCCTGGGGCAGGCCCAGGGCGCGGGACAGGGCGTAGCCCAGCAGCAGGCTGCCTGTGGTGGGGAGAGCAGGCAGAGGCACGGCCAGGTGAGCGGCATGGAAAGCGGAGCGCAGCCAGTGCATGCTTGGGCAGCCAGATGTACCCGCCTGTCTGCCTGGCAAGCGGCCAGCCCGCCGCCCCCAGCCCCAGCCCTTGTCGCTCACCCGCGTGCAGCGCGCACACCGCCACCGCCAGCCGCGGCCAGGCGTGCGCAACGGCGCCGCTGCTGTGCGCCACGTAGCTGGCACAGGTGAGGGCCATGAGGGCGGCGGCAGCCAGCGTGCACAGCGGGCGCAGCGGCGCCACGGCGGCGGGGAAGGCCTCGCGGACGGTGGCGCCCGCCAGCACCGGCAGCAGCACCACCTGCGGCCAGGGAGAGGCGGAAGGCGGCAGCGCCCGAGCAGGGCAGTCAGAGCGGTGGCACAGGTGGCACAGGATGAGTCGGCTTTCGAGGAGCAAACCATGGCTCGCTACCAGCCCGGGCCCGCCATTGCCCCAGCCCTGCTGCCCAGCCCTGCCCACCCACCCACTTGCCTGCAGCGTGGACCAGGCCAGAGCGGCGGCATCGACGGCGATCGCGGTGCCCATCAGCAGCTGGGTCAGCAGCGGCGTGGCGATGGCGGCAGCCAGCATGCTGACTGCAGCGCAAGGCGGCAGGGCGGGGGGTGGGCGAGGTGAGGTGAGGAAGGGAGGCTGTCGGGGAGGCTTTGCAGCAGCCGCCGCCATTCAGGCCGGCATGGGCAGCCCCCCCGCCTGTGTGCCTCCCGCCAGGCAGCAGCCTCGCCTGTGGTGAGCGCCACACTGAGCGGCACATCGGCTCGCGCCAGGAAGGCGGCGGCGCCGGAAGCGCTGCCGCCCGGGCAGCAGGCCACCAGGCACAGCCTGCGGGGAGCGGCAGTTGAGAGGAAGCTCGCCAGCGGCATTGCAAGCTGCAGCAACGAAGCTCGTGCCAAGCCGCGCTGCTGCTGCTGCTGCAGGCATTTCAGGCCACAGGCACGCGCAGGCAGACAGTGCGGCCTGAGGCGGCGGGCGGGCGGGGCAGTGCGCACCCCAGCGCATAGTGCTGCGGCAGCGCCAGCAGGCGGCCCAGCAGCAGCGCAAGCAGCGGCGGGATGGCATACTGCAGCGCCAGCCCATCCACGATGCGCCCGGGGGCGGCCAGCGTGCGGCGGAAGTCCTGCAGGCGGCAGGGCAAGGCGGGCAGGTAGGTGAGCGGGGGGCCGCGCGCTGGACTCGGGGCCCGGGGCCTGCCGCCGGCAGCCGCCAGGGTGCACAGCGCGCGGTGCTCTGCCTGTCCTGGCCGTGGACAGGACGGATGCACCCCGCCGCCGCCGCCTCCGTGCGCACCGCCCAGCTGGTGCGCCCACCTCGGCGGACAGGTTGAGGCCCACTCCTAGCATCGTCACCGTCAGCATCGCCTGGCCACTGGTGGCCGGATAGTGCCAGAGCCACGCCGCCGGCTGCACCCAGGCCCAGTACACCACACCCAGCAGCCAGGCCGGGAAGAGGCCGGTGAGGAAGCCGGTCACAGAGACCACGCGCTCCCAGGCCGCCGTCCAGCTGGCGCCGCTGTCCACAGCGCCGTAGGGGTCGGTGGCGGCGACGGAGGTGGTGGCGGCGGCGCAGCGCTGGCGCCGGGGCACCTGCCGCCGGGCTGGCCGCAGCAGCGGGGAGGCATTGCGAGGGGCGGCCGCGAGCCTGTTGCCCGCCTGGGGGCCGTACAGCGCGCTGCAGGGCCTACACAGCCAGAGTGCAAGAAGGTTGTCAACACTTCGCCTCTGTCCATTCGCGCCGCTCCCCTGGCAATGCTGAATCGCGATCAACTCACCTCACAATCGGGTGAGACCCACGCCGTGGCAGCTGGCTGCCCGTGGCGAGAATGGGAGGTTTGAAAGTCGCAGCCATCCCTCCCTACTCAAGAGGACGGGCAGGAGGGGCCTGCATCGATTGACAGTCTCTGGTGATAAGCGGCAGCGCACCGATCTAAACAGCAGGCGGAACCAGCTGCCGCCAGCTGCAGCTGTGCCGCCACCTCAGCACGCTGCCGCCGTCGCCTTGGTATGCCTTGCGACAGGTCGGAGCACGTAGCACATGCTCCGGTGCCAGGAAAATCCACCGACCTTATTGATTTGGTGTATTGCATGCCAGCTGCGTGGCACGTCCTGCCTCAAACCTGCGACGTCAGCACATGCACAGCGCCGCTCCTGCGGCAGCTCCCGCTCGCCGCCGCTGCGCAGGCCGTCATGCCCTGGCCTGCTCGTTCCTCTCAATCCCGCACTCTGATCATTCATCATATCACAGCATCAATATCGAAATCACGGTATACAAGCGGCCGCGGCTGCTAAGCTTCCTCTGCGCCGCCCTCCTCCTTGCCGCCCTCCGCCCCTTGCTCTGCGCCCTCCTCCTTCAGCCTGAACTGTTCCGCCTCTGCCGCCGCCTCGTCCTCCTCGCTCCCCGCCGCCTTGGCCTTCGCCGCCTTCTTGGGCGCCGCCCCGGGCTTGGGCGGCGGCGCATGCGCCCCCAAGTCATCCAGCCGCGAGTAGAGCCACTGCAGCAGCAGAGTGCAGGGCAGCATGTGGCAGCAGCGTCGGCAATGCCGGCGGCAGCAGCTGGCAGCGCTGGCAGCCGCCCCAGTGCCTGCCCCATGCTGGTCACGCAGCAAACCCCCCAACTCAAGAGCACCACCTCACCCGCCCCACCCAGCCCCACAACCCGCCCCGCACGCAGCAGCAGGCCCACCTGCATGAGCGTGGCCAGTGCATCGTCCTCAGCCGGGTCGTAGTCTGCCAGCGGCGCCGGCTGCGACAGCACCGCATACTGCTCCGCCGACTGCCGCCGCTCGGCCAGCATGGCCTTTACCTGCTCCCCATACGGACGGTACCCCGTCCAGATGTGCCTGTACCAGGGCCGAGGGGGGGGGGGGGATGTCAGCAGGCAAGCAGGCAGCGGAATCAGCAGGCGGCTGCGAAGGAGGTGGTGTGCAGGCGAGCTGGACAAGGCTCGGAGGCCGAGGGACCAGCGCTTGCAGCAGCAGGTCAGAGGCAGGGCGCGCAACCCTGGGGCCATGCAACGGCGGCGGCAGCAGCCCGGCCAAGCAGTCACCCTCTCGCCGCCGGCAACCGCCAAGCCAGCAGGGCAGCGACCTGCCCGCAGCAGCCATTCCCTGCCCTGCCCCACCTGCGCCACACTTTGGCCAGGTTGGCCTGCATGCGGGCGATGTCCTCCTGCGGTACCGCCTGCAGTATCTGTGGTATGCGGGCCATGTCCGCCTGCGGCACGCGCAGCGAGTAGGCGGGGATGTCCAGCAGCGAGTGCCAGGTCAGCTCGATGCCGTCCTGCACAATGACCGGGATGCAGCTGCAGGGGGGCAGAGGAGGGGGGAGGCGGGGCGGCAACGCAGGCTGGGCGGTGAAGCAGGGGAGAGTGGGGAGGCAGGGATGACAGGCTGAACGGTGGCAGCCCAGCGCGGGCGGCTGCCGGAAGGCTGCAGGCCGCCGCAATGTGCGCCGCAGCGAGCCCAACCATGCACACGCGCGCACACACACAGCCCACCCCACTGCTGCCCCCTCCAGCGCCGCCCACCCACCCGTGCAGCACGGCGTCGTCGAAGCGTGACGAGTAGCCGTCGCCCATGAGCGCCAGGCAGAACACCGACCTCGCCATGCACTCAGAGTAGTCGCCGGGGCCGCCCGGCGGCGACCCCGCCCCCACGTGTATACGGTACTTGTCCCACCAGCCCTCCGCCTCTGCTGGGCGGGGTTGTGAGGGCAGGGGCAGGAAAGAGGGGTGACGCAGGGGCAAGGGCAAGGCAGGGGCAGGGAGAGTGCGCGGCGGGCCCTGGGCAGCGGCATGCCAGCTGCCGCTGCAGCAGTTGCGGCGGCAGCGGCAGTGGCAGGCACCGGGCAGCAGCAGCGTGCGGCGGCAGCTGCCGCCCCACCCGAGATGTTGGCCAGGAACTGGCGGGTACCGCGGCTGTACCGTGCGTTCTCGGGCTGGATGCGCCCTGCGGGGCAGGTGGCAGGGGTGTGTGTGGTGGTGGTGGTGGTGGTGGGGGGGGGGGGGGGGGGGGGGGTAA